TATATATATATATATATATATATATATATATATATATATATATTTATTAATTTGTTTATTTATTTATAAAGTTTATATCACAGTTATGCTAATTACAACATCTACAACAAACAGAATATAAAACCAGCTACTCCTTTATATCCTAGATGACATTTTAAAATAATCTTTTCTAACAAGGCCTAAAAGAAAACAACAAACATAAAAGACAAATACAATGAGGAAAAGTACGGAAGCAAATACACCAGACAATGGTAGATATACAGAGTTAACCATACCGCAACAATGATGATACAGACTGAAAAGTACTGAATTAACTACACCAGACAATGGAAGATATACAGAGTTAACCATACCACAACAATGAGGATACAGACTGAAAAGTACTGAATCAACTACACCAGACAATGGAAGATATACAGAGTTAACCATACCACAACAATGAGGATACAGACTGAAAAGTACTGAATCAACTACACCAGACAATGGAAGATATACAGAGTTAATCATATCACAAACTACTTTATTCAATTTTTATTTACAACAACTGGCTTGCATACCTCTGTTTTCAACCTCTCTAGAGCATTTCCAGAATGATCTGTAAAAGCAAACAAACAATTTAAACATCTTTTCGTTAAATACATATTTGATAACTTTTAAATATTTATAACTACATTGGAAAAAACAGTATTGTTCCTAATGTAGTCGAGGGAGTTATCTGAATTTCCTTTGTATAAAATATGCTTAAAAACTATGAAAACTTAGTCTTTTGATCTGTCCAGGGTTACTGATGAATGGAATTACTCAAAACTGGTATAACTCAATGACAAATAGTGAATCAAATGATAGATTAGGTTCATATATATTTTGTATTACTAAGTTGTTTGTTAAACTAGGTTAAACTACAGGTCTACTTATATACTTCTCTTCAGTAGCAAAGATACACAACTGTAAGATGATAAAATTATCTGTTTACTCTTAAACCCAGGTTAATACTTACCATCCGGCAAACATGCAGTATAATGAAACCACTGAAACAACACACTCAACAGACGCCCTAGAGTCTCCTATCATAAAGAAAATTACGATGCTTTATTATTTTTTGTGGCATTAAACTTTCAAGAAAACTTCACCACTTACAAAAATAACGACTTTGGAGTGTATGCAAAATATATCAAAATGGATTTTGATTTGGAAAAACTGTGTTCAAAAATAACCTCCAAAATATTGTTTGTTCTCAAAAGTCCATCAACCAAGACTAATGATATCTTAATTTATGGGAGTATGGTAAACTTTCCATCATTTTCAATAAACTGATTGTAAATGTTTTTATTGAAGATTTTAAAGTTAATAAAAATGCTTATAACCCCTCACTAACTCAGTACTTTGACACCTGTTTAAAAAGGTACAATGATTAGATACAATATCAGGTTAGATCTTACTGACAGAGAGATGATGACTTGTAGAATATTACAACTTGACACATTGTCAGATAACAAAATAAATTTTAAGTTTCATGTTTCTTCAGAAATCGATTATTTGCAAAGTTATTAATTTACAAATCCTGTGGTGTATTTCTTCTATTAGGTGTACACACAATCATAAAACTAAATTTACTGACAAACAAATATATAACTAAAGCTAAGTTCCTAATACTGACCTTCCTTTTAATTTACTTCTTGTCAGTGGTAACTTTGTGGAGAAATCTCTACAATGATTATCAAGAGTTGTATTAGAATATGGTCACTTTTCTCCCAACCAATTTTAAGTTTCTTGCCCAGAAAGGCAAAGAACTGGAAATATATCAAACTACAACCAGTCAGAATCAACTGCACTCTCACATTTCATTTGCAGTTTTATCAACTCGTGCAGTATAAGGGTAGTACTATATAAAACTATTACCTGTCAGAATCAACTATAGTTGTCTCAGAGTTGATATGTGGTTTTATCTATTCAGCAGTTTACGAGTAACACAAATTAAATTATGGTTGTCTCAGAATTGATGTGTGGTTTTATCTATTCAGCAGTTTACGAGTAACACTAAATTAAATTATAGTTGTCTCAGAGTTGATATGTGGTTTTATTTATTCAGCAGTTTAAAAGTAACACTAAATTAAATTATAGTTGTCTCAGAGTTGATATGTGGTTCTATCTATTCAGCAGTTTACGAGTAATACTAAATTAAATTATAGTTGTCTCAGAGTTGATATGTGGTTTTATCTATTCAGCAGTTTAAAAGTAACACTAAATTAAATTATAGTTTTCTCGGAATTAATGTGGGGTTTTATCTATTCAGCAGTTTACGAGTAACACTAAATTAAATTATAGTTGTCTCGGAGTTGATGTGTCGTTTTATCTATTCAGCAGTTTAAAAGTAACACTAAATTGAATTATAGTTGTCTCAGAGTTGATGTGTGGTTTTATCTATTCAGCAGTTTAAAAGTAACAATATATTGAATTATAGTTGTCTCGGAGTTGATGTGTGGTTTTATCTATTCAGCAGTTTAAAAGTAACACTAAATTAAATTATAGTTGTCTCAGAGTTGATGTGTGGTTTTATCTATTCAGCAGTTTAAAAGTAATAATATATTAAATTATAGTTGTCTTAGACTTGATGTGTGGTTTTATCTATTCAGCAGTTTACGAGTAACAATAAATTAAATTATGGTTGTCTCAGAGTTGATGTGTGGTTTTATCTATTCCTAAGAAAAATCTGACATGTTTTTCAATAATTCCCTACTTTTTACAAGAATTATACTGAGAAATCTTTAATTTACTTAAAAAATTATTTAAATATTTTTACAGCCATATACCATTTCTTTCTTTGTAAGTAAACGTGTTATCAATTTAGACTTGCAGTACGGCTTATACGTACCACAGGTGTGTCATCAGTTGGTGTACAAAGTCCTTTAAGTAACCAAATGCCATATCGACTCAAAAGTTGTCTCTCTTCTAATGCAAGAAACTCCATGCTATCATCTTTTTCTAACACCCCTGCTCGGTTATAGCGATCTATGGTCACCTGCGTATCATTCTCACAAAATGGACGGGCTTCTTGTAGCAAACTGGAAGTTTAAAAATATATAACATTTTTTCAAATTACTGATGAAAATTTATTTGATCTTGGAACTAACTTTATTTCGTGGATGATTTTTCTTTCATAATAACACAATGATTCTAAATGTTTTTTTCATTTTAGTAACAATGCAATGAAAAACATACAAATACAGATAATATCCTCAGCATCAAGAGCTGTACCTTAAATATTTTACCCATTCATTATCTCCTCCATCACCCCATTCCAAGCCAATGATTGAATCTGTTTATTTGTTTCTTTCTTGGGCTCTGTTTTGGTCACACTGAGAATCCAGCCCAACAAGAGAATAAAGTGAACTAAAAACTACTAAAAGGTATAAAACAATTAATTTCAATACAACAATTTCAGTACAGTAATGATTTTTAGCATCAGATTAAAACCTAGTTTATTTACTTCAAAATTATGGTTGAGTCTGAGCTGGAATACTATTAATGATTTCGAGCATCAGATTAAAACTTGAAACTAATTAACTTCTTTATACTCTTCACAAGGCATTACACTCTACAGCAGGGATCTTCAAACTTCGGCCCATGACTTCGGTTTATCCGACCCGCAAACAGTTTATTAAAGTGATAACATAATTTTTTAATATTATAAAAACAAAAAATAAAACATAATTGAACAAAAACCAATCTGATCATGCATGCATCCCTACTTAATTTTACCACGACGCCTCTGGCCCACAAAGCCTAAAAAGATCTAACTCCTAGCTTTTGTCCAAAAAGGTTTGGAGACCCCTGCTCTACAGCAACCTGAACTCATTTGATAAGTTCAAAAGATTAATACTCTCAGAGGTTCTGCCTATAAACAAAAGTTAAAAATGTAGATAACATTTAAAATTTGATTATGAAATAGCAAATTTCAATAACCATAGAATGTTTTAGAAAGATGAAAAAAAAAGCAATGATTAAAATTACTTTTACTCTAATGATTTTGAATCTGCTAAAACAGAAAAATATACATGTCAAAAATAATAACATTATTTTTGATTCATAATAAATCACAGGATTTAGAGATAGGGCTCAGGTTTTGTCACTTGAACTTTGAACACATCAAATGTAAGTTTTTGTAACTTCATATTTAGTGTCCGACAGAGCCCGACTCATCTTCTCACGGTGTAAGTGAAGAAAACTACACTTTAAAACATACCTTACTATTGCCTCCACCATGTACGACTGGGTTTCAGGATCCATCGTCCATGGATTTGGAACTTCGCCATGAACCACATGATCACTTCCCTGCTTGCCCTTGTGCCGTAAGTTATAACATTGGATACAGTAACGAATTGGACGATTTCCATTGTAACTTGAACATTCAATGGAAAAGCAAGTTACTGTGGCCTTCTTGTTTATGCTCTGGCAATTCTGTATAACAAAATAAATGTTTAAGATACAATATATTAATTATTAGTAAACTGAATCAGCAGTCATGCTGTGTACATTTCAAAGTATAAGACTCCACACAAAAAAACTATATGAAGGAGCTTTCATACACCATAAAACATTCACACAACCTTTTCTGTAATCTAATATTCAAAACTGAATCAAAGACTACGATGATTTATTGGACATTTTTGTTTTAAATGGAAGAAAGGAAGAAAATATTTGAGGAAAGCTGGAAGTGGAAAAGGAAGATAACTCAAACAGATGCAACATGTAGAAATTGGGTTTTATTTAACAATAGTAATCTAGATTATAAACAAATTACCAACATGAAAAGGAGATCATGAATATTTGATTCTAGTTTGTATTGTGAATTTATCTTCAGACTGCACTTAAAGAAATACTAACTACAACAGAAAGAAAACCAGTTCATATTAGATATTATTCATAAAAAACAGTTTTGAAATGTTACATCAAACCCACAAAGCACCCATTTAACTGAAATATTTTTCACTAATAAAAAAAGCCTCTAAGTATACTTTTAAAACCACAATTAAAGTAAAAGCTTCGTTATCTGGCATCTTTACAACCAGAAATTTCAATATCTCCAAATACAAATTACTGTTGTAATTTAGTAGCACTGCTGTGGCTTTTAATTCTCGTTGTAGTTTAGTAGCACTGCTGTGGCTTTTTTATACATTCTTTCCCACCAGCAAGCTTCAGTTGTTAGCTGCTTGTACTTTGTTTTTTTGTGATTCACATTTAAAATGCTGTACTTGTAAATGTTTCATACAATTTAAGGTTTTTTACATTTATCATTGTCTAAAACAACCAGAATTTTTGCCTCTCCGGCACTGCTCTGGTCTGGCAAATGCCAGATAATAATGTTTTTATTATACCTGGAAATTTTCATGAGCATAAAAGTTTAAAAAATCAGAAAAGCAATACAAAATCCACATCATCATTAGACTTGCATTTCAATCTAAACTGTTGGATATTACAGATTATGCTTGAGATAAACATTACATACAGTCATACATTAATAATAGAAGTAATCACCACATTATCTCACTAACCTTGTTTTCACAAACAAGAGCAACTTGCTGAAGAGGAAGAAGAACGTTAACTAAATTTTCTGTGCCATTTTCCCGATGAATTTGATCAGCACAACTTTGACACACATACAATGGTGGAGGGTGTTCTCCAGTTCCAATAGACAATGAGTGATCCATGCACAACTATTTTAATAGAAAGAAAACAGCTGAAACTTTTACACTATAATCTCATACTCTCAACTTAAGTTAACCCTTTAGGTGTGTACTTTTTTCATTCAAAATCATGGTCAGTTAATTCAGGTTCAGATCCAGAATTGTCCTCAGTTTGCACAAGTTCGATTGTCTCGTCAGGTGAGAAAATACTGGAGCAATTTGATGTCATTTTGGGTCAGTTTTCTCATAAAAACTTAAAGAATTTTCAACTGTAAGTATTACTGATGTTTTGAATGGCAACACATGCCATCTTGGATACGAATCAGCAACTGAGATCATCATCTGTGCAGATTAGGCTTTGTCTATTTATTTCCTGTGCTCGATTTGTGATTCTAGAGGGAAGTTTAAACTGCACTGTGTGGTCACCATATGGTGACAGGTGCATCTAACTTAACTGATCATTATTATAAAAATAAGTTAATACAGATGTTGTTGTTTTTTTTCAGTACAACTTGAAATCAGGGTTGTGTAAAAAATAGTATTTCAGATCTATCTTTTGTCTCCCATAAGTCAATGCTCAATAGGCTTTTCATTCAATACCAGAACTCCTCAGTTGGGCTGGATGATGAGAGACAAAAGAATGTATAATAGATTTAATTTTAATTTTCAACTGCTACACTGATGTAGACTTTGAAAAGAATTTCACTGTTACATCTCAAAGACAATAAGGTTTTCATGTGCTGAAACACATCTCTCATCACCGATATCTGCAAAGAATACGACTTAATCTCTACCTTCTAATTTTCATTTCATTTACGTTAACACACTCACTGTTGTTTTGCAAAACAAAAGATCCAATCTCAAAGTGGTTAAAATCCCAAGGTTATGTTAAAATCTCATTAAATGGTAAAATCAGCAAGACTGATTACTTTATTAGCCACAAACTTAAAAGTACATAATACTACAAAGTACTACTAAGTAGTATACTATAAACTTTAGTACTATAAAGATAAAACAGAAAAACAGGAGCTAAACAAATAATTCGTTAAAATCAGGTTTAATTTTTATTTTCTCAAAACTAACCATATCAGATTACTATTAACACTTTAAGTATTCATAATGTGTATAACTGGATATCTCTTTTCAACACAGTACACAGTGAAGTTGATGCATTTCATACATCATTTGATAAGTTTTATTACAACATTTTGGTAAAAGGTAGGTGTGGTTTTTATCTGTCCAATTATATACAGTTACATCATAAATGTGCCCCTACTTGGAATTAAATATACAAAAATACAATACACCAATGGCTTTCTCTACATCCTATTGAATTTATTTACAAATAGATGTACTCAAACAATAAAATTCCTTACCTTCACAGCTTCATTGTTTACTGTACTCACACAATTCTCTCTTTGACAAACAAGTGGTTTCCATCCTGAAAACAAGTGGAATTTATATCATTTATTTATCATAGATTTAAACATTTTTATATCTTAAAATCTACTCATCCTTGGCAAAAACTAAATTTCACCAGAGGAATCATAAGTTTTACTCAAGAAAGTTTTGCCATGGTACAGGCCGTTTCAAAACCTCAAGGTGTTGTGTTTAATAAGTTGTTGTTTAAAAAAATGACTAAGGTATAAAAGCTTTTATAAGCTGGGAAAAAATAGTTTCTAAAATGTAGGACTTTGATTTATTTCTATACTTGGAACTTAATTGTCACACATGATTATCATTAGAACACACTTTTAATAACATATCAAACTATATTATCTTTAATAGCTAAAAAGTATTCATCTTTGATGGCACTTCACAAGATAAACTGAAGTATACATATTCGGTAACGAGGAACCCACTTTGAGACTAATAATGGCTGAAGACGGCTTGAATGGGTAATAAAGAAAATAAATAAAGGTACCTGACGATGACAAAACCTTGTCGAAACGTTGTACATTTGCTATTATGTTAAACTTATATTCAAGTTTTTCTTCATTACCCATTCAAGCCGTCTTCAGCCATTATGAAGTATACACATGTTTAAACAAAAACTAACTTTATCAACTTAGAAAAAAAAACTTTCTCCCCACAACAATAGTTTTTCCACCAATCTGTCTGTCTGTTTCATTTGTTGTATTTCCTGCAAGGTCTATCTAAACTGTCTCTAATTTTTAAGTCATTGACTAGAGGGGAGGTAGTCAACACAAACAACTTTTAGGCTACTCTTCACAAAGTGAAGAGCTTGAATACTGGAGGGACAGTAATGGAACATGAACCATGATTATTGGCTCTAGAATCTGACACACTAACCACTGGGGCATGTTCAGCCCCTGTTGTCAATAACTGTGCAACATAAAATGGCTTTAATAATGTAATTAAATTAAAAAGGAAATAACATGTTTTAACATGGACATTCATAATCTCTACAGAAAACAAAAATAACATAATGCAAAACAAAAAAGTTTACAAACTGAAAATCAGCTTTAATTACTCACCAGCATGTCTAATACTGGTACTTCGTCTCTCCTGGATCATTGGATTCAAAGAAGGCCAGTAATGAAACAGTAACTCAACTGCAGGTCTCCTCGCATCGGCAGTTCCATGACCAATTACACACAGCAAGTCCTGCACAGTGTAAATGAGGTATTGAAATAAGCTTCATTATACCTCCACTTATATTTTAGTACAAACATCTTAGTATTTTTAGATTTTATTTAAGGAGATACAAATCATATTTCTCTAAATTGAATTAGTACTAATACATGGACCTATTTTATTTTATTACTTAATTAATTGATATCCTGTGATCATATAAGAATGTTTTGTTTTAATTCTTATGTTTAAAACATATGCAGCCTTACAAAAACTATAAAAATAATATTGAGAAACCTGACAACTAATTACCTAGAGCTGATTTATACCACATGGTTAACAGATGGTGGAATATTCACCTAAGCCTAGTTTGTACCATGTAAAAAATATATATTGTGATCAATCACCTAGGTCTAATTTGTAACAGAAAGATAACATGTGGTGTGATAATAAATCACCTAGGCCTAGTTTGTATACCACATAGCTAACATATAGTGTGATAATAACATAGGCCTAGCTTATACCATGTAGCAAAAATATGTTATGATATTCAATCACCTAAGCCTGGTTTACACCACATGGGTAACAAATAGAACAATAATCTATGCCTGGTTTGTATTGCACAGCTAACAGATGGTGTGGTAATCACATGTCCAACTAGTTTAATCTCCAGTTTGATTTTTATAATATAGCTAATAAGTGCTGCAATACTCACTTAAGCCTAATTTCACCACACACTCAATAAATACTGTGGTTCCAAAGTGGGCCTAATCTGTATGACAAATACTGTAATTCTCACCTTGATTATATTCCTTTTCAGGCTCATTATGCATTCCAACAGATGTGCATGATGAGCTAAAAATGTAAACAGTGTCATACTGAAATAATCTTAGTAAAAAAGTTATTCAAATACACATAATAAATCATTATGTACTATCAAGTAAACACCTTAATTACCTTCAAAAACAATAAATTTATATATATATATACACATTTTTTTTTCCACACATTTCTACATTATTTTCTTACATAGATGAATATAATGATTTTAACAAAAAAATGCCTTGAATTTTCACAATTTATTTGCAACAAAACAGAGATACTCTCCAAACAAACACTAAACCAATATTAATCAGTAATTAAACTTCATAAAGTAAAGATCTTAAATGCATAAATTTTGGCAGATAACATGTGTGCCTCTACAAACTCTTAGTCGAAATTAAATACAGTCCTCGGCCACTTTGGTACATGTATTTGTTTACTAAAAAATTGAATAAATGAAGCGTTTGATTTTGTGCATGTTTTGTACAAAATAATACCTTATATATTCTAACATGATCTTTAAGAAAACACTCTTCCACTTTGATAAACACATGCTTTAGATTTCCTTCTTGCATATATACTGTTACGTCTCTGGTCGTTTGTTAATTACTCGTAAAAATTCTTTCCGAAGAACTTCAGCGATACAAGTCCTTTCTTAAATAAAACTATTTTATTCTTCCTCAATACAACTTTGCAATACACTTAATTTCCACAGTCACTTTAACTTAAACACACGCTATAATTCACAACGATTCACGTACTTTACTTACTACCGAACTTGACTCAATTGTCCGTCTCTATCTCTGCCTGTCTGCAATTATCTATCTATCTATACACTCTCGCCGGTCTTATATATACGAATTAGAGGGTGTCTGGAGAACACTCGAGCCTTCACAAATGTTCTAGATACTCATTACGTGTTACCAGCATCACGTGAATTAAGCTGTCGTAACAATACTCTATTATATAGTATTCAATTATATTCATTTATACACCTTCAGAATTATTTTATTGTTTCTATACGACTTTTGAAACTGTAACTGCAAATTAATGCATTCTACACAGACAAACAGCAGTATCTACTGAGATAACCAGGGCTGAAATAATGAACAATCTAACCAAGCTATAGCTTGACCTCCCCAAAAAAAGTATGGACCCCTCAAAGAGTCCACAAAAACTTTTCTAATACTCAATGGTTATGATTGCCATTCATAATTTCCATTTCTGATCCTTTGAGGAATAGACAATTTTCATGTTACTATTTATAAAAAGGACAGATCAAATATAAAGTTGTTCTTTTAAATTTATATGTTGTATATATATTTTGTGCTGTTTCCTTACTATTTTCATTTGTTTAACTTGGAATGTTCAACATGCTAAGGTCCATGTGAATTATAGTTATACAGATAGTATTAGGCTAAGATAGAGATGCAGGGCTGGAGTAAGGTCTTTTGGACAATACAAAGTTTGGAGCATGATTTCAAGACAAGAGATCACAGTCCAGCATGCTATCCAGTAGATCTCATCTAAACCGGTTCAAAATGAATATGTTGATTAAGGTGAAATACATTTACATTAATAAAACAAAGAGAGTAAAAAGCAACATTACTAAACTGACCTGGATTCTCTGCATACTGAAATACCATCATGATTACTGCTGGAATGGACATATTTGCATAATTTTGGCTGTCATAGTCACTGGAAGCAACTAGAGAAGAAAAACACTTTCTATATGTCACAAAAATCTATGTCTATTATGTCGCAAAAGAGCTTGAATGTAGAGCTATGTCAAACCAAAATAATAACTGACACAAGCCAGTTTGCTATTTAGAGAAACAAAATTAGGATTGTGATTAGACATCTGAACATTTCTCTTTCCTACAGTTAAGCATAATGTGCTAATAAGAAGGATTTCCTAACTGCTAATCTTAGGAAGAGAACAAAGCAAGCAGAAGTAAGTGTTGTTGAAACTACAATTATCCCGCAGAGAGTAAAACTACCAGTCAAGAGAGAAACTCTATAAAAAGTAAGTTTTTTAATATGTTGACATAAAACTCATGTCACACCTATTATACCTGTTACTTCAGAAACTTGCATGGATCGAAATCCACTGCTGACTGTACATTACTAACAGTATTAAAATATGATGGTCTGCTTTAAAAATCTCAATTCTTCAGCTTTGTTTCAAAAACTAGGTTCTCTCTCTCTCTCAGCAGAGATAATGTTTAACCTTTATAACCACACTGAGAAGCAAACTTATATTTTCACAATAATAGGATTGTACAGACAAAAACACATATTTCGAATGAAAAAAATAAAAAGTTAAAAATTATAATTTTCCAATAGGTACTTACCTTCTCCCACATAAATAGCTATTCTTACTCAATGATGCCCTCTATATGTCAAAAAATATTTTATGCTGCCGCAAGCCTTTTGTCTCCCCTCAGATCGAATTGACTAATTCCAATAAGTCTCTCATGCAAAACATCATGCGACAATCCTTCACCAATAAGAATGCGATATGCTCTCATGATGCATATGACTCCCTCTATTCCATTCTACCGAAACTATCACTTCGAGTTTTGGCAGAAGATAGAAGCACCAGTGTACCATGGGGAGGAAGGGTGGGAAGTGTGAAAGAAGGTAAGTACCTATCAGAAATACATTTTCACTGTAGGAAAATTATAACTTTCGACAGGGTACATTACCTATGCTCACATAAATAGCTATAATCACACATTGAATAGGTGGAGTGACCAGTGAGAGAGAAAGAAAGAAGCATCCAAAGGACATTCCCTAAGATGAGACAGATTTAAGATCTCATATGGGGAACCACACTACTTCTGAACCAGGTATACTCTTTGCCCATTGTAGAAAGATGTTGCATATATGGGAGGAAAACAAGAGCACAACCAAGTGGGAGAGAAATATGGCCAGAAAGTGATCCAAACCATGCAATATTTATGAAGCTCAATCTCAGAAGTATAAAAGTGGGTAAAATTAAAGGATGTGCCGTAGGTGTAGAGTGGCTAGGGTGTGACAGACCATACACAGCAAGTCATCTTCAATCCAAAACCCGGCTTCCAGGTACCGACATCCATGTAGGGGTAGGAAAGAGGATCATACCATCTTCACCTCAAGTTTGTGAGACCAGAGGTAATCTAGTACCCCCAACTCATGAACGTGCACATGTGAATATGACCCAACATCTAGTATTGAAAGTATGTCTACATAATGTAAACCATCTCCCTCAAAAGTGAACTAACTGGAGCCACCCAAAGCACATTAACATATTCGGAAAAAGAAATATTGAGGGAGAGTGGAAGGGAAAGAGCCATAACAATCTGCAGTAACCTCCACCGTGACTCACAATACTGATAGAGTATAATTGAGGGAGGAATACAGACACCTGAAATACATGTGCGAGGATTTATGTTGATTGGTTCTGCTCTAAATCCAAAACCCGGCCACTGGGAACTGACATTCATATTGGAGGATATCATGTCATCTACACTAGCAGAACACCACCACTCTACTCTCAACTGAATGGTTTTAAAGTCATTTTTATTCTTTGTTTCTATTTCATTAACCCATTCAAGAGGATACCTCCACGATCCACCACCCTAGCAGCTTGGAACTGGAAAGTGGTAAGGACTCACAAATTCTACTAGAAGTAAATGGGGTAAAACATGGTGGAGAGTCTGGAGGAATGGCAACAAAACCCTATTTTGGAAAGCAGACCATACCAATTTATTCAGTACAGGTCATGGCAGGGATGAGCTGCTATCCCCTTCTGATTTACCCATGTAGTCCATGGGTGGGTACAGTCAAGGATGGGCAAACGTATGAAGCAATTCTACCACAAGGATAAACATACAAGCAAACTTGTGGAACACCTCATCTCTGCAGTTTGCATTGCTTGGCCATGGAATTATAATATGCAAATTGACATGGCTTGACAGCGCAGATTTGAAAGGTTAAAGAATACCTGGTCAGGCACCACAGAACGGGGTCCAAAAAATTAGCATTAATAAAAGGGAAAAGGGCCCCTGAAAAGGAAAAATAATAATAAAAAAACTTACCCAGTCAAAGTCTCACAGAATTCTGATATGCTAGAATGGCTACAGGCGGAAGACAACCTGAAGAGGAAAAAACTGTGATCCAATGCAAATAGCAAGAAATGAATGTATCATGGGTAGTCTGCATGCCCGAGTGAAGAAGTACTTCAAAGGACGACAAAGACGAAACGCCAATAAAAAGGAAAAGTGTCAAAGTGGGTGAGAAGACACTCAGAACAAAGTACAGTAGGAAGACGATAAAGAGGAAAAAGCCCAATGAATGAAGAGCTGGACCCAACTGGCGAAGGAGAAAGAACATGAACAGAGGACAGTTGCCAAGGAAGAAAGAGGTAGAAACGGACACCACAAATGGAAGCTGTGCATACAATATAACAGAGGAAAGCACGTACAGGACATAGAAGTCTATTAAGATCAGAACCAAGATAAAGGTGTGAAATGGAAAAAAGGGAAAACAGTTAAACATAGGAGTTATCATCACAAACTGCTGAAGTGTTAGGGAGGAAAAATTAACCTGAGAGAGGAGAAGGATAAAGAGTATGTGAAATGTCAAAGGCATCGAGCATGTGGGCCCAAAAGGAAGATCCAACGTATGAATACAGAGGGATGGAAAACTGGTGCTGCCCTAGTGATTGAGATGAGCAACCACTGAAGAAAAGTTAGAATGGAACATTACCACACAATTTCTGGTCAGATGGAGAAAATATACCAAAACACGACCTATAAAAAGAAGCTCCAGGTCGTTGATAGGACAAGACCTCTCAGCTGCAGAACAAAAACCCCAAATTTCCAGTGAATCACCCCACGCTTCTCTATCCCAAAGGGATGCATCCATGAAAACCAAAGGAGGAAGCAGGAAACCCGCCAACATGCAAGTCATGTCTAATCACCAATGCCAAATGACGAAAAGGGTAAGAGGAAGGGTAACAAGAGCCGAGAAAGGATCCCTGAGAAATTCCATTGATCATAAAAAGCCCATTTAAGAGCCCTCATATGAGCCTGACCTAAGGGGATAAGGGCTAATATGGAATATCACATCCCCAAAAGCAATTGAACTTTGCAGGTTGTAATCAAACTGAAAACCCAATGAACAAAGTCAAAAAGGAGAAGGGCAGACCCGACAAAGATGTATATAGAAAAAGAAAAACACCCAAATGGACAAGATATTGGATAGGTTGCAGTAAAGATTTCTCCAACTTGAATAACAGCCCTTTATAGCTGCCTCCAGGAGCACCTGATAAGGTTAGACTCCTGTTCAGAAGGAGTGAACTGTAGCCAGGCAACCACAGAAAAAGGAGTGCAACCCAAGAGCATACAAGTGATGAACAAATACTCTGAATTCCCAACAAAACAGACAGGTCAAAAGCAAGTCTGAAGGGCAGAGTGCAAAACATAGAAACCACTCCATGGAGAATAAACAAGAGAGAGGGTCATGAGTGACAAAATATCGAGATATGATGATAATCATTCGTGCCATTTCTCTTCCTCATTGATAAACCCAGAGAAAAAGCCCACCTATGGGTGAGAAATGACTCCAAGGCCAATCAAAGCAGATTGAAAAATGAGGTGGGACAAGCCTAGTATAGGCTGCCAGTCTCCGAGTTGGCATGAGGACAACAAACAGCCTAGAATAAAAGCCTGGAGAAAGATGATGAACAGGAGCCAGTGGCCTATAGAAATAGAAAATTTTGTACCTCCAAGAACAGATGCTGGCTGGTGGCAGGATCCCAAGTCATGTGGAAGGAAAAGAGTACCAGGAACAAAGGAGGTGGGGAAGGAATAATAGGGCAAGTCCTCCTGATAAAACCCAGAATCCATAGAACTGTAGTAAAAGATCACCAAAGCATAACAATATAGTCAAACTCCAACTGGACCACAATCCTGTGGTTAGTCTCCAGTACTGTTGGCAACATGCCCATCAACTTTGAATAAAACAATGAGATGAGAAACCCCTGGAAGGGGGAGAGGGACAGGTAGATAAGGACCAGGACAGGAAAGGAATAGGGGCATGTCATGGCTCCAATTTTGACAAATGTGCAACCAAAGAGGAAAAGGTCGATTACACACGAGATTCCAAAGTCTCAGATACATGATCGAAAACATAGCATAAAAGAAAAAATATAGAAATCCCAAAAAGAATACAGGAGGCAAACATACTCGAGACAAGGTCGCATCACAACCCAGAAAATCCCAACTACATTGAAACACCATGCATAAAGCAAGAGCCAAAGAGGACAAATGAGCAAACATGAAGAAAATAAAGAATCATAAAAATGGGGAATTGGATAAAACACAACAAACCTGAGAAATCATGTCAAAAAATGCTGTATTAGGCCTAGCTGATTCTGCAGGAGGGGTAGGGAAAACACGGCAAAATCTGGTACTGTAAAAAGGCTATCAAATCTTCATTGACCTGAACAGGGTCAGCTTGTTCAGGAGGATTAGTGGGGCAAGTTCAGGAGAAGAATGTTGACCCATATCATGAACAATCTCATGGTTGATAATAGCAGTAAAATCCAATGACAGGTCCCCCCTCACCTGCAACCTGTGATATTAGTGCTAGAGGGAACATGAACCTCAGAATTCATTGTAGAAATATGTAAATCAAACACATTTGTTTGATGTAAAATATGTGAGTGTGAGAGAAAATATAAAGGCTGGAAAATTAAGTTAAATCAAAATGTTTCTTCAATGTAAAGAAAAAGAACAATAATGAAGAAATTACACTTTGGAAATTAAACTGTTAATATCAAAATTCACACAAAGACCACCAAAAGAAAAACGTCTGAACACAAGTACTGCCAAACGAGGTGGCAGTTTGACGCACGATGATCTGCACGAGACACGCATTGGAATCAGCCAATTCCAATGGAGAAGAGATAGAAGGCTTGAGGCATGCGTAAGATATTTGTTTGCATATAGAGGGCAGCACTGAACTAGAATAGCTATTTATGTGAGAGGAGGTAAGGTATCATATCAGAAATCCAAAATTAAAAACACAATGTATTACTTACTAATTGTAAATGGAAGCAAGTGATAACACAATAATTCCAGAATACCATCCTGTAAGGAGGTTGGAAACAAGGCCAAGGAAGAAGCAGCTATGTACGGCAGAGTATCCATATATTCATGTTCCAGAAAGGGAACAAGACAGGCGAGCGTCTGTAGAATATTGGAGCCTAGAGCTACAGTAGAGAAACAAAACATAGCTAAATTATCATTCTTTAAAAGATTAGAGAATTTGACTTTTTAGACTGAGACTGTTTGGTATGTTATCACGTATAAAGTTTTATCTATTCTTCATATGTATTAACATAAAAAAGAAATTTACTACATTAAAATATAAGGTTTTATTTGAAGACTGTTTGTCAGTAGGACTAAGGATTGATTTTAACTCATCCTACCTCTCAACTATACGTTTGAAGACTGTTTGTCAGTAGGACTAAGGATTGATTTCAACTCATCCTACCTTTCAACTATACGTTTGAAGACTGTTTGTCAGTAGGACTAAGGACTGATTTTAGCTCATTCTACCTCTCAACTATACGTTTGAAGACTGTTTGTCAGTAGGACTAAGGATTGATTTTAGCTCATTCTACCTCTCAACTATATGCTTGAAGACTGTTTGTCAGTAGGATTAAGGATTGATTTTAACTCATTCTACATCTCAACTATACGTTTGAAGACTGTCAGTAGGACTAAGGACTGATTTCAACTCATCCTACCTTTCAACTATACGTTTGAAGACTGTTTGTCAGTAGGATTAAGGATTTTAACTCATCCTACCTCTCAACCGGTTCCATTTTCTGGCCGTGTATTTCCTATATTTACTTGAAGGTACTCACAAAATAGGCCAGGGGTATAGGGGCTGCTTAAGCCCCCACTGGGGTCTATGGGCAAGGAAGCCCCCTTAAAGCTGAACAGCTTTTACACTCTGAAATGCAATCATTATCTGGAGCCTATTTCTCAGAGAACTGTGTTGTTAAAAGATCATATACATCAACTAAGTTATTCATGAAGCAATACGTTAAAGATCATATACATCAACTAAGTTATTCATGAAGCAATAAGTTAGAGATCATATACATCAACTAAGTTATTCATGAAGCAATACATTGGCTCACGAGATGTAATAAACAGAATTGAGACTCATGATCTCAGGTTTCCACTATTCTTTATTCTAAATCCAACAGGCAGATTCTCTTTGCCCCAGCCCACTACCCCATAGCCCTTTTGAAGTAACACAAACTTGTTACAGTCACAGTGTTCCATTTAATAAGTTACAACAGTAGTCAATACCTCTAGGCACTACTGAAATAATGAAGTTATGATATATATTTATATTATAATACTATTAGATCTAGTTTAGGACTTTTGGGTTAGGCCGTATTATTGGCATTAAGACCTTATAGGTTTACTAAGCATGCATATAGTTGGATGAGCCTCCTTAATACCTAACCTTACCATGCTTACAATGACATGGTTGTTAATTTTAACTTCAGTTTTATGACTTACAACTAAGTTATGTCGTTATAGGCTAAGTCACTCACAAGTTTAGGCTTAAAACAGACAAAGTAAAGTGAATATAGATCTAGATTAAGTTTCATGATGGGAATTACTTTAAATGGATCATTGCTAAAATATGCATAAAACACACTTACAAAAATCTCACATGTTGAACAACAACGCATTTCTGTCAAGATGTGATACATACTTGACTTCAGAAAACCACCAATCAGCTATATTATTAATATAAAAAATGCTGGTCTACAATATTTCCAAATTTTAACAAAGTTGCATATTACTAAATGTTCGTCTGAATGTTTCAATGTTCATCCAACAGTTTTGGGTACTGAAATTAAGAAATCAGAATTTTTATTTTAGCTAATTTAATTTTTTCAATTGATGGAAATTCATCCCGAGACAGAGCTCTGCCTTCCCTGTGTATACTACAAGACACTATGTCACTTTCTTATTGTTTTTCATTTATTACATTTTTCATTGTTTTAAATTGTACCTCTATTAATTCTGTATATATTAATCTAACTCATTACCAATTTCACTATGTTTAACAAGACTAATAATTCACATATTAAAGGTAAACAGACTTAACTGATAATCAGGTTACAATATTGTTAATGTAGACTTAACAAGAATAAGTGTATGATCTTGTCAAACAAGTGATTTCAATTTCTAAATGTTTTTTTCAGTTATTGCTATAACTGCACCTGATAAAGTGCTCTTTAAAGAGCTGGAAAGCTTGTGGGTTAATAAAAACTTTAGATCTTAATGCGGTACTGCAAGTTTTCTTTTATGTTCTTATTATGATTGTGCTTAACAAAACGATTTTAAACACATAAACATCATTGTTTTTCAATTTTCAGGGAAACAGACAATGTGTCATATACACTTGTTACCTTTGCGTATATTCATTTAAGAAAATCATGAATTGTATGTAAATATTTCAGATGTATGCTACTTCATTTCTGTTCAGAGTTGTGGGAATGGCACTTTAATTAGGATCTAAAAACTGCCGGGAACATTTAGAACTTAATCCTTTAGACATATGCTTGTCATGTCATGCTCAAAAACATCATCAGATAATTAAGGTTCAGAGCCAGAATCAATATCAGCTTGCACAAGTTCAGTTGTCTCTTGAAGTATGAAAACAATGGAGCGAGTTGATACAATTTTGTGTCCATTTTCTCATAAAAATTAAACAATTTCCAACTGCAAGTATGACAGATGTTTTGAATAGCAACGTATGCCATGTTGGATACGAATAAATGGTTGAGATTGTCATCTGTGCAGATTCGCCTTTCTGTGTGCTCATTTTGTGTGCTCATTTCTCATTTCTAGCAGGAAATATAAACTGAATTATGTGATCACCATACGACAACATTTTAAGGGTTAATAAAATTTGAAAATTAAAATTCATCTCAAAATTCTTCATACACAAGCTTAACCATAAGACATGTCAATATTAGTGCAGAGGGGTGTAGTATATAAACCACCATCACTTCACGTTAACATTACGTGTGGAAGTAATCAGTAGAATTAGCTGCAATAAGTCAATATTAGTCCAGAGCGGTGTAGTATATAAACCACCATCACTTCACGTTAACATTACATGGGGAAGTAATCAGTAGAATTAGCTGCAATAAGTCAATATTAGTCCAGAGGGGTGTAGTATATAAACCACCATCACTTCACGTTAACATTACGTGGGGAAGTAATCAGTAGAATTAGCTGCAATAAGTCAATATTAGTCCAAAGAGGTGTAGTATATAAACCACCATCACTTCACATTAACATTATGTGGGGAAGTAATCAGTAGAATTAGCTGCAATAAGTCAATATTAGTCCAGAGGGGTGTAGTATATAAACCACCATCACTTCACGTTAACATTACAGTGGGGAAGTAATCAGTAGAATTAGCTGCAACAAGTCAATATTAGTCCAGAAGGGTGTAGTATATAAACCACCATCACTTCACGTTAACATTACGTGGGAAAGTAATCAGTAGAATTAGCTGCAATAAGTCAATATTAGTCCAGAGGGGTGTAGTATATAAACCACCATCACTTCACGTTAACATTACGTGGGGAAGTAATCAGTAGAATTATCTGCAATAAAACAGGTATTTTTGTTCATTTTATGACTCGTATATTCATTGAACAACAAGGAAGTTGGTACATGAATATTTTATAATAATGTGTTGAACCCCATAAATGGTTCAAACACAAAAATCTTGCACAAGAAAAATAACATGTAAAATATTCTTTTATTAAAAAGTATTTAAATGAAGCTGAACAGCCTATAAAAATCCAGAACTAGAACTAGAGACTACCGAAACATATCAGTCTTTTTTATTTTGTACTCTTAAATAAAATGTCTAAGTAACTTTGTTAACAATATTACCTTCTTTATTTTTTACCTATACGGTCTAAAAAGATAATTGTTCTGGTTCCCAGTCTACAAGTTTTAAGTAATGCCGAGTATATGAGTGATGACGCTTCTCATGCAAATGATACACAGATGACATATTTTTAGTAACCACTCTAGTCCAAAAATTTTATATTTTTGAATAAAATAAATCAAAATGATAAAGTTAACATCCAGGAAAATTGCCATCTGACAGCTAATCTGATAAAACACTAAACATTTTAACTTTTATTATTCTCTTTTCATCTGTGTGTTCTCGACTATTAAATGTTAGACCCCTTCACTTTATAATAATGATGCTTAAAAGTTCTGCTTCCTTATTACTCCAAAATTAAGAAGCTGGTAGCTTCAAGACATGTGAACATGTCAACACCTTAAATACCACTTCTAATTGAGGAGAATATGCAAGCTTCAAGACATGAGAACATGTCAACACCTTAAATACCACTTCAAACTGAGGAAAATATGCAAGCTTCAAGACATGTGAACATGTCAACACCTTAAATACCACTTCAAATTGAGGAGAATATGCAAGCTTCAAGACATGTGAACATGTCAACACCTTAAATATCACTTCAAATTGAGGAGAATATGCAAACTTCAAGGCATGTGAACATGTCAACACCTTAAATACCACTTCAAATTGAGGAAAATATGCAAGCTTCAAGACATGTGAACATGTCAACACCTTAAATACCACTTCAAATTGAGGAGAATATGCAAGCTTCAAGACATGTGAACATGTCAACACCTTAAATACCACTTCAAATTGAGGAGAATATGCAAGCTTCAAGACATGTGAACATTTCAACACCTTAAATATCACTTCAAATTGAGGAGAATATGCAAGCTTCAAGACATGAGAACATGTCAACACCTTAAATACCACTTCAAATTGAGGAGAATATGCAAGTTTCAAGGCATGTGAACATGTCAACACCTTAAATACCACTTCAAATTGAGGAGAATATGCAAGCTTCAAGACATGTGAACACGTCAACACCTTAAATATCACTTCAAATTGAGGAGAATATGCAAGCTTCAAGACATGTGAACACATCAACACCTTAAATACCACTTCAAATTGAGGAGAATATGCAAACTTCAAGGCATGTGAACATGTCAACACCTTAAATACCACTTCAAATTGAGGAGAATATGCAAGCTTCAAGACATGAGAACATGTCAACACCTTAAATACCACTTCAAATTGAGGAGAATATGCAAGCTTCAAGGCATG